TTCATATTTTATCGTAGCAAGTAATAGTATAGTCTCGCATTGTTTTACATTGAGAGACTAATGACGATAGGACTCACATATTACTGAAGAATCTTTATCTTGACTAAAAATTCAAATCTTAAAAACAAGATTCTAAAAACGTATATTTAACGTATTTTATGTTATACGTTTTCCTTCAAAATCATTTCTTTATTATGAAATAAAACTTACATGAGTTTTTGGGTCGAATCTTGGTGGAATGTATCGTTTGTGTGAGAACAGTGGATAACCATAACTAGACTCGGGAGAAAGGGCAGCGACTAAAACCAGTGCCGTAAAAATGATCAGAATTCCCTGTAATAAAAAAACATGTTTTCCATTAATTAAACATCTTAAACTCGATTCATAGTTTCTCATTATTAAATTACGTACACCGAAGGTGGTTTTATGTATAAATAAAGAAGCTTATTTTATAAACTCTATATGTCTATAAATTACAAAATATATAGTAAAAATCGTATTTATTTGAAGTTGTTTGATATTTACCAGGCTATTTCTATTTTATCACACGAGTATAGCACGTTTTAAATAAAAGTATATATTTCAACGAGACGTCACATCCTAATGTATCAGAAAATTCCATGTGATCCGTCTGAAGTACATTGCGTAGGCTACCAACCATAACTTCAGGCTACCAACCATAACTTCATCCATAACAAATTGTAATGATTGAGGGGAAAAAGTTAATACCTTCAATGTTTGTTCGATGGGAGAAAAAAATGGCGCAGTTTTTAAATAACGTTTAAATAAAAGACGTTAAGGTTGTATTTTCCAAATATTAATCATCTAGTTTATTAAAACTTACCTTTCCTAGCATACTTTTAGTAGCAAACTCTCCTATGTGAAACTGAATCAGAACCTTGGTTTAGCTGACTTGAAAACCTGATAGCCAGTGAAGTTGTCGAACTACTTGTCTTGGTCGGTCTTAGTTTTTATCTATAGCTTTTTCGTAACCTACATCCCCACTTTTAACTATTTTTACTTTCACTGATAGCCTCAATTATCAAGTAAAGGAATGGACACAGTGAGCCAATCGAATTTCTCGTCCCTTGTCTGGAGCCACCGTTCGCTTCGGGGAAATTTGCTCCAGTCTGGTTTTTAAAACTGAAGTCAGTTTCCAAAATGTTCTCAAAGTTTGCATAACCTCAATTTGTTCTCTCAAGAGAATTTTCGTCTTTGTTGTAGTTCGTGAAGGTTAGGCTTGCACATAAATATTCTTCTCTTCTGTGCAAATTCCTTTGTTTATTGCATTTGTTAAAGAATGCATACGTATATTTAGTGACGCAATTCACAAACATTTGATTTTTAAAGTTCACCAGGGTAGGAGCAAGAATTTCGAACTTTCGTGTAGATGAATGATACAGATACTTCTAAGACCAACATGGGTATTACTTCTGTTATAACTGAAACTGTAATATCATGAATTTAGATCTAAAGCTAAAATCGTATTATAATGAATGCTAGTGTTATGTCTGTGGTATGTCCATGTAACTATTTCGCAGGGTGTGGATGGATTTTTACCCAAATTATTATGGGTTTCATTAGGTCTATGCGAAGGTATATAGAAGTTTTCAGTTTCACATTTTGTGTTTTGCAGTTTTTATGGGCGTTTTTTTTTTTACAATTACATATAAGGGAAGTATTTTTTCATGTTCTAAGATAACCTTTCATCAATCATGAATTTACATAACTTCCGTCCAGGGGACGGGTAATCCAGCTGGTTTTAAATATTACTGTTACTTATGAAAGAATATCATCATGGTTAATTATGTTACATCTACAATCGCAGCATCATTGACGTCCCTTTTAACACCTGACACCGTAATATCATTTATTAAGCGTGATGTACTTTTAAAGTAAAATAAATGTTTAATCATGGATTAAGCATGATTTACTCCTAAAACTAATACGAGTGTTTAGTCATGGATTAAGCATGATTTACTCCTAAAACTAAAATGAGTGTTTAGTCATGGATTAAGCATGATTTACTTCTAAAACTAAAATGATTGTTTAGTTATGGATTAAGCATGATTTACTTCTAAAACTAAAATGATTGTTTAGTTATGGATTAAGCATGATTTACTTCTAAAACTAAAATGATTGTTTAATTTCATCTTGATAGTTGTAATAATCTCTTATTGTAAAATATGTTTATAATATCTTTTATTGCAGTAAATATCCTACAATTTTCAGAGAGCAAGCAGAAATACTACTACTTTTCAGTTCTTCATTACTGTTTATAGATAATTCCCAGTTTCACCTATTAAAGAAATGTCTACCTTTAGAAAGAGTTTGTATTTGTCTTAAACCGATATTTTAAATCTATGTGCAACTTGTTTTCCTAGTATCATGTTTATCGATAATTACAGTTTCCAAACTGGTGGGCTGGTACTTTCCTCAACAATTTATAAAAATGATTTTAAAATAATTTATTTCTCTTTTGCTTCTCCTTACTTTTCTGGGTTAAACAGGTTTCAAAGAATACCCAATAACCCTAAGGTAAAGAAGAAAATAGTTTCTAAAAACAACATTCATATAACTCATGTTCAATTAAAAATTACACTTTCTACAACAAAAGTAATGTATATAGTTCTAAAGTTTCAAGAACTCATGTGTCTTATATAAGTAACACATGAGAGGTTGTGGTATGTATTTTATGTTCAACAGCTAGCCTGGCATACCAAAACTAAACATCTCTGTCATACCGAGGCTATGTTTGTTTGTTTTGGAATTTCGCGTAAAGGGCTATCTTCGCTAGATGTCCTTAATTTTAGAGTGATAGCTAAGAGAGGAAGGCAGCTAGTCAACTCTTAGCTTACTCTTTAGCAGCGAATAGAGGGATAAACCGTCACATTATAGCGCACCAACGGCTGAAAGGGCGAGCATGTTCGATGATGATATTCGAACCCGCGACGTGCAGATTGCGAGTCCAGCGCCTTAACCACCAGCATGCCATGCCCCGAGGCTACGATTGTCAGTGAAATACAGTCCCACATTCTAGCTTATACCTACAATATTGGGATTTCAGCTTAGATAAGGAACGACGTCTATTATCTAAGTAAAATGTTTAAATCATCACATTTATATATGGAATATTTTTATTGGAGAATCGTATGTATTGTCAGGGTTGAGTTGAGTCACCCATTGACTATCGAAGAAATGATAATATGAGTTTTTATTTTAACAAGCCGGTCAAATTCATAATTGTTTTTTCTGCTCTTAACGAAAACTACGATAGAAAAAAAAATGAAACATGAATATATAACATGCTATAAAAGGTTATCCAGATTCTCAAACACTATTTTATATGACACATGCAAGAACCGAATAAACAATATTATCACATCACCAAGACCACGAAACGTTGTACAGCGTTAACTTTAAAGTTAACTTAAGCTATGCTTTTACAGTGGTATGTCTAAAGCCAGCTTTCATATATGTATTTACAATGGTATATCTAAGACTATATTTTTACAGTGGTACAGTTAAAGTCAGTTTTAAGTTCTATATTACAGTGATACTATTAATCTGTGTACTTACAGTGGAACATCTAAAGTCAGAGTTAAGCTATGCACTTAGAGTGGAACATCTAAAGTCAGAGTTAAACTATGTACTTACAGTGGAACATCTAAAGTCAGAGTTAAGCTATGTACTTAGAATGGAACATCTAAAGTCAGAGTTAAACTATGTACTTATAATGGTATACCTAAAGTCAGAGTTAAGCTATGTACTTACAGTGGAACATCTAAAGTCAGAGTTAAGCTATGTACTTACAGTGGTATACCTAAAGTCAGAGTTAGGCTATGTACTTACAGTGGAACATCTAAAGTCAGAGTTAAGCTATGTACTTACAGTGGTATACCTAAAGTCAGGGTTAAGCTATGTACTTACAGTGGTATACCTAAAGTCAGAGTTAAACTATGTACTTACAGTGGTATACCTAAAGTCAGAGTTAGGCTGTGTACTTACAGTGGTATACCTAAAGTCAGAGTTAAGCTATGTATTTACAGTGGTATTTCGAAAATACACAATAAGTTATGTATTCTGGTATTTCTAATGTTTAGTGTAAGCCTACAGAGAATATTTACTACAGTATTATTTATGAAAAGTCCAGCACAATCTGTGTCTCGAGATATTCATATTAAAAACCAAGCTGCATCTTTATAGTCAACTTTTACCTTCACTAAAATCGGTAATAATTTTGAAACGAGTTTGATTTTTATCTCTGCTTGCTATTAGACTTCCTTGCTAACCCATTTCAAACAACAATGCGATCTCGTTACACCAGAACCACCCATTTGAAGTATAGCCTACTTAGGACTACCACACCCATGTACAACACAGCCTTTGATGTATGAGCTGTTTGGTTAAAAAATATGCAACATGTAAAAAGACTCGATCAATCTGGTGTATCAAAAAATGTCTAGTTTTATACGAGAATTTAGATCAGTGGAAACGTATAATAAAATCAGGTAAAATGTCAGCACTTATTTATGTTAACGTTTTCAGATACAGATAGCTGGTATTTTTCGATATCTTTATTATTATTATTATTTTCGTACCAGTTGGTAAAAACGTACTGTGTGAAGTTCCTCACTGGATAATTTGCTTAGTTTTCCTATGGAACTTTGCACTTTCATAACCTCAGGACAGCATCTGCTATATATATGTAGTTTATAATGTATAAACTTGATATGTTAATGTCTAGTGAAGCTTATTTCTAGAGATCTGGGCGTGGACTAAGGGTTAGCCTCTCGGGTTGCAGGTTCGGGCTGAACACCTTCTACACTTTCATCTGTGGTCGCGTTATTAAAGTGACAGTTAATCATTTTATTCGGTTCAAGGAACCGGACAAAGCCCTGGCAGTAACATATGCTGCTAGTTGGCTGCTTTTCTTCTGGTCAGTGAATCAAAATTAAGGACGGATATACCTGAATCCTAGGGGTCTCTGACTTGGACGTTTAGCCTGAGCGTGCAAAAGGTGCCTTTCAATTTTAAAACTCCCCTTTTGGGGCAGCGGTAAGTCTACAGACTTCAGTCCCTCATAGTGGACATAGCAGATAGCCCAATGTGGCTTTGCTCTAAACCAAAGTCAAGCCAGACAATTTGAAAATTTCAATTCATATATGTAGAGTTGTTTTGAGTCACATAGTCATATATTCATTTTTCTTTGTGTCTCAATATCTATAGTACGGTTTTATACGCATAGCCCAATGATAACTCATTGTTATATGAGTCATAATTTATTTTTAAAATATCCAGAAAACATTTATGAAGTACTAGTGAGCCAATCGTTTGTGACAACTTTGAAACACCTAATTCAAGCGGTTATCGTCTCATCACATCAAGAAACTAATTTATTGTAAACCGATAATGAAGCTATTTCATTGTTGAGACACAATAAACAAATATTACGTGTACAAGCATGTTGTCATTTAATCTTTTCCTCCAATGTGATTCAATTAATGTGTTAAAAATGTTGAGTAACTGTAGACTTTATTAAAATTCCAGCTCAGAAAATACAACAGAAAAAAAGAGTAAAACTCGTCGCTAAGGTTAAAATTAGTATCTCTTTGTTATTGTTAATCCTTGTTTAATTTGGATTATCTCTTCTGCCCCATTGCAAAACGCTTAATTTAGATTATTATATTCGAGATTTTTTATTACACGAGTAAGTTCACTTGCCGACAAACAAGTAAAGTCAGAGATTCACGAAGTGGGAAAACAGTAAAAGAACTACATATTAGGTGAGATTACCATTAGTTTATAATTTAATTGACCTAAATCTAGGTGGATGAGGTTAATTTTGGAACATCG